CGACGCAATCATCATGGTTCCCAGAGAGAACCTTGTACAGCGCAGCGATGGACTCGTTGCTATGCCCGGGGTAGTTAACCTCTTTCCTGACGAATTCTTGTGCAACCTGCTTGTAGAGATCCGGGGACACAGTATTGGAGATCAACATGGCATGTCCCCAGAGTCGCTTGTCGACAGCGACCCAAACCGCCTTCTCTCGGTCGCCAATCAGCAGATGTTTTCGAATCTGGTCCATAACGGACGAATCCACGGTGTCGGCCATGATCTGGCCCGAAGGCTCACGGATCGCATCGACGCCGCTGATTCCAGGACCGTAGCCCGCCGCACCTTCGGATTCACTGGCAGCGAGGCCAGGAGCCAATACATCTCTGACAGCCTTGTCAACCGCTGCAGTGCCTTCCAACACGCCATCGTGTTCGACAAAGACTCGGAGGATTTTCCAAAGCAGAACTCTCTCAATGTTACGTTTGAGCTCGTGGGACAATTGGGTTTGGAAGGGAACCTCGGGCAGTTCCCTCTCGAGAGCCTCTATACCTGCGGTCAACCAGGCGACTGTTTCTTTCTTCTTCGATTTTCCACGTAGGGGTCCTGGAAACTTCGCCAGTCGCTCTTCAGGCGGTTGGATGTCCTTAACATGCTTCACATGAACCTCCCCTGGGCTACGGATAATCATCGGAGCTGTTGAGCCCATGCCGTAACGCGGTACGTTTTTGGGAAACGAGGAGACGACGGTGCCGCCAACACCCCACGAGATAATCGGCGCGCCTTTCCATCTCTGTAGGGGATCATTTTCACGGCCGTCGGTCGGCGCAACCATGTTCAAGGTTTGAGAGGGTCCACGAGGGCGAGATGCATGAGCCTGTACCGGATGTGACGATCTGCCTGCTCGGGGTGATGGGGGGCTCTGGACCGAAGGCGGCTGAGGTACGGGCTGGGATGATGGATGCGCTCCATGGAATGACCCTGGTGACTGCGTTTGTGATCGTGGTGGTGGTGCATACCTGTTGTCGGGCGGGGAATCGTGGAGGGCGGCTTGTGGTAAATAGCCTGAAGAAGATCTCTTTGAAGGCGACAAAGTCGAGTTCACGGGAGGACCGTGAGAGAACGGCGGGGGGGTCTGCCTTGCGGCCATCGCGGGCGCCGGGCTGTAGCGAGACTCTGCAGGTACGCCGTTGGCAGGTTGGCCTGGTTGCGAGAGCTTCGACTCATCCTCTTCCTCAACCTCGCGCGTTGTAGGGAGTGATGGCACTCTGCGGGGCTCGAGGCTGTAGCTCGACCTTCGATCGGGCTGAGGATGGTCTCCATTGGTTGTCGGCGCCTCGCGAGAGACCTCGAAGTGAGCTAGGGGACTGGAAGTCCTAGGTAAGTGCGGCAAAACAGTGGGAGACGCGAAAGCAGGCACAGAGGGCCTCGCAGCCGTAGGTGCGGGCGAGTATCTGCTTGAAGATGACGGTCGACTGGCTCCGTTGGCTGTCGGCGCGGATGGAGGGGCAGGCGAGTACCTGGCGTTGCTGGGAATGCCGTGGGCCTGCTGTTGCGCCGTTTGAGGTGCATAGGGGTTGACACGCTCACCAGGTACTAGATTTGCAATGCCTCCAGATGCCGAGCGGGACATACCCGGAGGTGAGAGCATAGGCGGAGACAACGGCGATGGGGCAAGCTGAGGCTGAGTAGGGGGCTGGAGAGGTTCAGAAGGACCAGCCAAAGAAGGCGAAGAGACGCGGTAGCTCTGTCGCGAGGCAGACCGAGGCTTCGCAGCCAACGGAAGCTCCTCAAAGAAGCTGCCTTTGTTTTGGAGAGGCGGTGGGCCCTTGTTCCCCGTCGATGGAGGCTGCACAGAGTGGCCCGATATTGAGGGAGAGGTAGCAGATGTAGCAGCTCTTGGTGGGGGAGGCGTGTGAGACTGCAGGCTGGCGCTTCTAGGGGGAGCTAATGACGGCCCAGTCGACGGGCTCCGTGGCAGCTGCTGCGTGCTGGCCCTCTTCTTTGGCACAACCACCTCCATAGGAAGATCGTACGGGGACGTGTAACCGCCTTTGGACTGGGCTGCGAAGCTTTGTGTTTTTGGAGGCTCGGGGGGCACCTGCTGAGTTGTGAATGGAGCCACCGGCACAAAAGGCGTAGTTCCTGTTTGAGGTTGGTAAGGAGACGGCACTGCCTGCGTGCTCGGAGCGTAAGGGGACGGGGTAGCTTGTTGAGGTGCGGCAGCAGGCATGTATCGTCCTTGTTGGCTGGGGTGCTGCGCCTGAGAGGGTGCCACGGAGGAAGGCGGAAGCTGAGACTCTTCTTCGTCCTCGAGGAAGCCCTCGTCGTCGCTCCCAAAAAATGCCGAAGGGTCAACTGGCTTGGATTCGCCGTTCTCGTCGAGGGTGTCGTCGATCAAGAAGTCCTCGCCATCATCGTCCGCAAAGGCTTCTTCCCACTTGGCAGCAAGATCATCCGTTGGCATTGCTTCGGCAGCTTCAGGCTGAGTAGACTCAGGAGTCGACTCCGGGTCATCTGTGGTGTCTGTCGGCTGGGTTGTAGCTGCCGCATCGTTCTCGTCATCCTCTTCAAGCATTTCTCCCAGAGTGTCGGCTCTGGACGACGTAGTTTTCATGTCGCCCATGGCTTGCATGGTAGATTTACGCTCCAGAGTCTGATTTTTAGCAAAGCCTGGGAAGTCATCATCGCCGTTGGAGTTTTGGATCTGACTGAAGAAGTCCTCATCGCCAGTTTCCTCTTCTCCAAAACCCGGCACTTTCTGCGAGGTTTGTGGCGCTTCCTCATTGGACTCCGGATGGGGAATCAATGGAACCCCTTCTTCGTACCGTGAACCGAAATCCTCCTCTTCGGTGAAAGTCGCATCGCGGCCAACGTAATGTTGATCGTCGTGATTTCCTTCGTCGCCAAATCCAGTATGAGACTCGGTCACTGCACAATTCATCTTCTGACGAGCGTCGGTATCAAAGTGCTCGGACGTGTTCTCAATCTCATTGATTACTTCCTCAGCTTGATTAGACGGAAGGGGCTCCTCTGTGCCGGGGGCAGCAGTGGAAGTCCCGGAAACCGGTGGCACTGGCGGGAACGAATTCGTTCTATCGCTGGGTGGCATAAAGTTGAAAGGGTCGGTATCGGTTCGAGGAAGAGACCACTCGTGGTCGTGGTCATCATCCCAGTTGAACTCTTGAGAAACGGTTCGAGTGAATGAGTTGTTGCTGACATGGCCCATTACAGGTGCAGTTGGCTTGGGTTCCTCGGCAACAGTACGTGACTCCTGAGCAGCCTCCTCCTCTGCCACTGCGGGAGAAGGGGATGGAGGTGCTGGCTCGAATTCAGCAGTGGTGTTCGAAACGGAAGAATTGTCGTTGACCGCGTTAGACTCGGTCAGGACGTCCGCTGCCTGTCGGTCGAAGACAGGCCAATCGTCCGTGGCATCTTCCTCGTCACCCTCGGCAACGCGGGGACTCGTCGGGGTTTCGGGTTTTTCCTCTAGCTGAATCCCGTGTTGCGGTTGGGATACATGCTCGGCATCTTCGGTGATTTGGCTTTGGCCGGGAGCTGGGGGTGGGGAGGCGACGGGTTTTGCGCGCGAAGGTGCATCGCCACTGGCATCGTTAGGCATAAAAGCCGGATGCCACGAGGAGTTCGCGGTCTCAGAAGACATGACGGTCGTTTAATTAGGTTGGTTCATGCGGCTTTTCGATGTGATGAGATCAAAGACTCGGGAAACAGCTGCGTCAAGATTGTCAGCAAAAGACTATAGATGCGCGAGTCCAGGGGTTTGGCGTCGAATGGACGCGACGACGGCATGACCCTGGGTATTGTCGAGCAGGTGTAGAGAATGCAATGGAAAGCATCGACACGGGGAATAGACGTACATATACATGAGAAGCAAAGGTCTAGGTAGAATACACAGCGATAAATTCCATGCTGAACGGAGTTGGTGGATTCAATGTGAAGGCCAGATGCGAAGGTGTGGTTTTTTTTTTTTTTTCGCTGGTCGGGGGGAGGAGAGTCTAATGAGCCAGAAGAAGCATTCGAAGCATGAGATAGATAGGTGGCCCAAAGACCGAGGACCAAAGTCACAAAGGTAACTGCAAGCTGGCAGGTACGATAAAGGTATAGTCTGGCGCGTCACTCCATACAGGTGGTATGTATCTCTCTTAGCAACCAAAGCGGCTAGGTACATTCTGTACCTTGGGGTTTGCGGCCCATTAAGGCAGGTAACATGGATCCTCTCCCCATCAAACTCAAACTCACGAGTCCGTCCGTCCTAGGTAGGTGGTAGGCTAGAATGACCCATCCAGTCAGAGACCAATTCCGTCATTCCGTGTCCGAAAGAGGAGCCCACCAAGGTCCTGTAGAACCGTGCACGGCCTTTCGGCTGCACTGGAGACCCGAGGGTCAGCTGGAGGCGTACTGCTGCTGCTGGAGACTGAGTGGTTACAGCTGCGGTTACAGTTGTGGTTACAGCTGTGGTTACTCATGTCCCTAAGGACCATTGGCAAGCTCCAGGTAATGTCGTCGTGTACTACCTACATTAGGTACCTGCGCGCTGATTGCCACACAAGCAGGTTGCTTTACATGTGGCATACCAAAAGGCCACGCGGCTGTCTTCCCCCATACCACCTCCTGGCAGAGGCAACCGGATAGCAGCAATCCCACCCAATTGGATTGGCTCAGCCTTTCCAGGCGACCTCATCTAAGCCTCCAATCCAAGCCTCTAGGCACAACTTGCGACAGCCCGTTACTTGTCCAAAACACAACATCTTTTGACGAGACACGACATCTGTCTTGCGAAATATCAGCACCGTCATTGTGACTGAGTGTTTCCGCTCACCACCGCACATACCTCAGCGTTCGTGCTATCTGCTATCTCGATCTCGCCGAAAGCATCCGATGCAGCTCCTCGAGCAACAGCACAGGCACCGGTTACCGAACTCTATCGCAACTTCCCACACCACCGAACCCGCCTAAAAAGTTGTTGTCTGCATACACCCACTCCCAATGCGGGCGGGATGCCTTCTCCATCTTCATATCGTTCCGCGGATCCGCCTGGCTCCCCGGAGAATGAGTCTGATTCAGACCTCGATCTCGACATTCAGGAGCTCGATCCTGCGACCACAAGCACCGAACGCACTTCCGGTCTCCTCCGCCAAGATCGTCAAAACACCGAGCATCGATCGCCACGTATAGCACTGCGAAATCTACGCATGGGGGGCTCACGCCGGGCAGGGCAGAAGGCCAGGGGATATGGAGAACTCGGCCAGAATCGCGATGGCGCCAACGAGGACGCCGAAGCCCTTCTCGCCGAAGCCGAAGGCTCTTCGTCACGGTACGGGGACGGAACCACAGGAGCAGGCTCCGACGATGATTCACCCCTCCTCCCTGGCGGCTCACCTCCCAGGCGTCGCTCCTTCACCGGAGACCGATTCGGGCGCCTCACCTCGAGCCTACGGCTACCCAGCTTCATGTCAAATCCAGGCGTACAAGAGGCAAACAAGGACGATGGGCAAGACCAAGATGAGGACGACCCGTCGAGCTCCCGTCTCGTCGCCGTAGGATCCGCGCAAGCGACCAGATTTCCTCCAAATTTGGTATCGAACGCCAAATACACAGCCTTCACCTTTCTGCCCGTTACCCTGTACAACGAATTCTCCTTCTTCTTCAACATGTACTTCTTACTGGTCGCTTTATCCCAGGCAATTCCCGCCCTAAGAATTGGTTATCTTACAACATACGTTGCACCGCTGGCCTTTGTCCTTGTCATCACTATGGGGAAAGAGGCTTACGACGACATTGAAAGGAGGAGGAGAGACAACGAGGCTAATGCGGAGGCCTATACTGTCTTGACATTCGACGAGCCTGGTCGAGGCATGGCTCCTGGGCGGAGGTCTCATAAGAGGCTCAAGTCGGATTCAATGAGGGTAAAGGGCAAAAACTCGGTCAACCACCGGGACAGACTCTCGGATATTCAGGAAGAGGAAGAGCGAGCCGAGGGGGACGGACCCGTCGCAGAGCCGTCTTCAGTTGTGCGTGAAGTCAGTCGCAAATCGCGCGACCTCAAGGTTGGCGATGTTCTCAAGTTGACCAAGGGGCAAAGAGTCCCTGCCGACGTGGTCATTTTGAAGTGTATCACCTCGGAGACTACTAACGCGCCTCCAGCTATGGAGGTAATCGTAGAAGAGGAGTCGTTGCTGGTCGATACGGAGGACGAAGAGCCAAAGAACGCAAAATTGCCCACCAAGGGCAAAGAAGTTGAAAACAGTGACAATGGCGGTGGCGCAACTGGCGAGACTTTCATCAGAACCGACCAACTGGATGGAGAAACGGACTGGAAGTTACGGCTGGCGTCGCCCTTGTCGCAAACACTGCCGACGGAGGAGTTTGTTCGTCTCCACGTCACTGGAGGCAAACCGGACAGAAAAGTCAACGAGTTCTTGGGCACTATCGAGCTGATGCCCAGCCAACGAGGGGCCCTAAACCAGCAGGGAGCCCTCGACGGAGGTGAAAACACCTCAGCCCCTTTATCGATCGACAATACAGCCTGGGCAAACACGGTCATCGCCTCTAACGCCACCACGCTGGCAGTCATCATGTACACCGGGCCACAGACAAGGTCCGCGCTGTCAACTGCACCCTCGCGGTCGAAGACCGGCCTCTTGGAATATGAAATCAACTCTTTAACAAAGATCCTGTGCGCTCTGACATTGGCGCTCTCCATTATCCTCGTGGCATTGGAAGGATTCGAGAACACTGAAGGCAACGTCTGGTACATCAAGATTATGCGCTTCTTGATCCTCTTCTCGACCATCGTGCCCATCAGTCTGCGTGTTAACCTCGACATGGGCAAGAGCGCGTACTCATGGTTCATTCAACGCGATCCTGGCATCCCTGGAGCCGTTGTTCGAACGAGCACGATCCCCGAAGATTTGGGAAGAATCGAGTATCTCCTTAGTGACAAAACTGGCACCTTGACACAGAACGAGATGGAGATGAAGAAAATCCATGTCGGCACCGTCTCCTACGCCAACGAGGCCATGGACGAGGTCACATCGTACGTCAAGCAAGGCTTCCATATCCCGCTTACCACCGACCCCTCGTCGCATACGATGTTGATGACGCCGTCCACAGCATTCTCAAACTCGGCGAACGTCGGAGCGACCCGCACGAGAAGAGAAATTGGGTCTCGCGTCCGAGACGTTGTCCTCGCTCTGGCGCTGTGCCACAATGTGACCCCAACAACAGAGGAAGAAGATGGGAAGACTGTGGTTTCATACCAGGCGTCTTCTCCTGACGAGATTGCCATCGTCCGTTGGACCGAGTCCGTCGGTCTTCGCCTCGCCTATCGGGATCGAACAAACATGATCCTCGAGTCAACGGAAAATGGCCGCGAGATTGTCCGCGTGCGCATCCTTGATGTTTTTCCTTTTACGTCCGAAGGGAAGCGCATGGGCATTATCGTTCAGTTCTTCGATCACGCGCAGTCAACAGCACCGAATCTCGCCAACAGCGAGATTTGGTTTTACCAGAAGGGTGCTGACACCGTCATGAGCCCCATTGTCGCCGAGAACGACTGGCTTGATGAGGAAACATCCAACATGGCTCGAGAGGGCCTGCGCACGCTCGTGGTGGGACGGAAGCGTCTGTCGTACGAACAATACAAGGAGTTCACCGGAAGTTATCAGGCGGCGTCTCTGGCCATCGCCGGCCGCGACGCCTCTATGCAACGTGTCGTGGCTCAGTACCTTGAGCGCGACTTGGAGCTTCTGGGCGTCACTGGCGTGGAGGATAAGCTTCAGAAAGACGTCAAGCCATCTTTGGAACTGTTGAGGAACGCTGGCATCAAGATTTGGATGTTAACTGGTGACAAGGTCGAGACCGCACGCTGCGTAGCCGTAAGCTCCAAATTGGTCGCCCGGGGTCAGTATATCTACACCGTTTCCAAGCTTAAGAAGAAGGACAACGCACAGGACCATCTTGACTTCCTCCGTGGCAAGACAGACTCTTGCCTCCTGATTGACGGCGAGAGTCTGGCCTTGTTTCTTACTCATTTCAGGATAGACTTCGTGTCTGTTGCCGTCCAGCTTCCCACTGTCGTGGCCTGCCGATGCTCGCCGACGCAGAAGGCAGAGATTGCGAAGCTGATCAAAGAGTATACCAAGAAGCGCGTCTGCTGTATCGGTGATGGTGGCAACGACGTCTCCATGATTCAGGCAGCGGACGTTGGTGTTGGTATCGTAGGCAAGGAGGGTCGACAGGCCAGTTTGGCAGCAGACTTCTCGATTGAGCAGTTCTTCCACTTAACCAAGCTCCTGGTTTGGCACGGCCGAAACAGTTACAAGCGTAGCGCCAAGCTCGCCCAATTTGTCATTCATCGTGGATTGATCATTGCTGTCTGCCAGACGATGTACAGCATCGCCATCAAATTCGAGCCTGAAGGCCTTTACAAGGTATGTTTTTGCAACCAGCCACGAACATCCTCCGTGCTAACCGTCAAATAGGATTGGCTCCTCGTGGGATACTCCACCGTGTACACTGCTTTTCCTGTACTCTCCCTCGTCCTCGATAAGGACGTTGACGAGAACTTGGCAAACCTCTATCCTGAGCTGTATAAGGAACTCACGTCTGGACGATCACTATCATATCGAACCTTCTTCGTCTGGGTTGCCGTTTCGATTTATCAGGGCTGCACAATCCAAGGCCTCTCGCAGATTCTCACGGAAGTCGACGGCCCCAAGATGGTGGCGGTATCGTACACCGTACTAGTGCTCAATGAGCTCCTCATGGTTGCCATTGAAATTACGACTTGGCATCCAGTCATGATCATCACCATCGTCGGTACCTTTGTCGCCTTTGTGGGTTCCATCCCATTCCTGGGTGGCTACTTCGACCTCGAGTTCATCATCACTCTGTAAGTTGCTCGCTACCCCGTTTCCCACTAGGCAATCACTAACTACCGAGCAGGGGATTTATCTGGCGCGTCCTTGCTATCGCGGCTATATCGCTCATCCCGCCCTATGCGGTGAAGCTCATCAGGAGAACGATGAAGCCGCCGTCGTACAGAAAGGTGCAGAGCACGTAGAGAGCATCGTCAGCATGCTTGTATGATCTTCATTTGTATCTATCTTGACGGCTCTTTGCGCAGGGCGTCTGAGGAGTCGGTCGACTACAGTTGGCAGCCATAAAGGGAAGAGCTGCTTTTGCATTGTTAGGCGGAGTTGACGGGCTGGAATATTTACTTTGTGCGGCATATAGTTGTTTACTAGAATCTTTCGCCGCCGTTGTTGCCTGCAGGAGTATTCTGCGGCCTTCCACAGCCTACCAGAGGCTGTTTCTTTGTTTGGTCTAGCTATTAGCAGAGAGAAATCGACTCTTCACTGGGAAGAGAGAATTAAGCTTGTACCTTCTATTGTTTCCTTCTCATATTTGGATGGACCATCCATCAAACAGCCCAAATTTAAATGGCGCTATCGAATTTGAGTCTCTTCAGATATTCTGCTTGTATCTCTCTTGGGGTTGTACATGGGGTGAGGGTGCTTTCTAAGATTGTACAGATATTTCGACATCAACCGTCTCACAGCTTGAGGACGATCCAGTCCTGCAAGAGGCCGGGGTTCTTCTTTTGCAGCGCGCCCAACATCCCGCCGACAAGGCCCTGCAGCTGCCCACCATCCCGCCACAGCTTAGCTCCCGCGTAGGCCTGGACGAAGCCCTCGGGTCCGGAGACCACGAACACGTTCTTCCCCGGCGCGGCCGCGCCGGAGGCGCACGCGCAGTCGTCCTGCTTGAACAAGCCCCGCTTCCCGGCGTTCGGAGCGCCGTCTACTATGCCGACGTGCGCGGTCTGCGAGTGGAACTTGCAGCCCTCGACGGCGTGCGTCAACGGGGGAGAGGGGTTGCCGAGCCCTCTGAGGCCGAGCTGCGTCAGGGCAGCGGCCAGATCTGAGTCGCGAACGGCAGTGCCCTCTTGGTCTACCACGACGCGGATATCTAGCCTGTCGCCGAACTTGTCCTTGAGCGCGAGGAGCTCCCTGGTCACCGGCGACGGGTCCATGGTTTCCAGGGTCAGCGCCTCGGCCCGGATGGAAGAGCTGGAGCCGGAGACGGAGCCGCCCGCCGAGTGATTGAAAAAGTAATTCCAGCTCCACCAGGACGCTATCCCAGACGTCGGCGCGTCGCCGCAGCCCTGCTGGATCTCGTCGCGGCTTCGCACAGCCCAGAAGATTGTCATGGACGGCGCGCTGGGGAGTGGGAGTACGGCGTGCGCGGCCTGCAGCGCGCTGGCGATACCCGTGCCGCCTGCGAGGAACACGACGCGGTCGCCTCGCCCGCCGAGGCGCGAGCGCAGGTCGAACTCCCCGTGAGGACCGCGGAGCTCGACGGTGTCTCCCACGCCTCCGTCGGCAGCGAGCGGGGACAGCCGGCTGAGGTACGTCGAGACCTCGCCGCCGCGCACCGCGCGGACGTATAGCCTCAGCGTGTCCTCGTCCGCACCCCCGGGCGGGGGAGGGAGGGGTGTGTATTCCCTCGCGACCTGGATCTGGGGCTGCTTGACTTCCACGCACCACAGGTCAAAGACGTGCCACAGAGAGGCGACGCCGGGTAGGCTGCTCGCAGGCGCTTTGAGGGTCAGGATGAAGGAGTTCGGGGAGACCTGCTCGCGGGCAATGACGGCGAATGGGATGAACTTGCGCGCGGACCCGAGAATCGTCTGCTCGGCCGGGTCGGTGGAGGTGGGCGTGGAGGGGAAGAGCCATTGGGAGTCCCAAGCGATGCCTCCTATTGCGAAGAGGAGGAGAAGGGGGAGGTAACGAGGGCTTATGAAAGATGATGTCTGTGATGTTTCGGCAAGAGAATTCAGGGTGGCTGCTTTGGGTGCCGTGGACGTGGACGTGAACGTGGACTTCAGACGGCGACGGGAGGCGGCAAGTGTCTTTGGCAGTGATCTTCCGCGATGTAATGCGAGGTCTCTATTCCTGTACCGAGAGCTGTATAAGTGCCGTGACGTGTGAGGGGAGGACGCCACAGTAGTTGGTGTTGCGGACCGGGATGCAGCTGCGGCGGCCGAGACAGCCCGGAGCTGACGCTGTGAGTGGGTAAGAGCCCGGCCGGCAGTCGGTCGTCGCATAGCCACACCTGCTGCGGATGCTAATGCTGGGGAGCCCATCATTGGATTACGCGCCCTATTCCAGTCCTATCGCCTTTTGAAAGTCGTGTACATTCTCCAGAGCGATGAAGTCGTGAGAGGCGCCAAAATCAATGATGATGAGAGCTTCAAGTGGACTAGTTTCGCCTGGCAAAGGATATGCGCACGGTCACGTGAGCCGAGTTGGCAGCATCGACCCCTGAGGAGATGAGTAACGATTTTCATCGATATACGATATATAGCCTTTTTTTATATGTCTCTGAATTTATGTCAATATCTTGTGATTGTCCTATCCCGTATTCAGAAACCGCCCGGGTTTTGGCTGTTAGTAGCGAACGAGAAGACTCATGCCACTTGGCTCTGCAATAGCGCAATATATGTGGAACTTTTTTGCTCAACTCGATCAGATCACATTATTTGGCAGGTCTTTTTGATATTCTCTGTGAATTTGAAGTCGAGAAAGTACTGTTTCTGTTAGTATGATAATTTGATATTTTTGTCTGACTGGTTACCTTACTTCCTGACTTCCACTGATGCTGCATGGTGGTGAAACAGACGCGTGTTAAAGGAAACTTTAAAACGACATGAATATAGCCACTTGGAGTCACTAAGAACAAAAAAATACCAGGCTTGATTCGTTGAGCTTTGCACGACAGCCGACTATGGGCAACGGATAGGGATCTCTACAGGCCGTGAGTTAGGGTTACGTCATCTTATTGGTTAGGGCCTTCTATGGCCGAGTCTCTGAAGCAACAAGAGTAGATGAGTGGACCATTATGACAGGGCAAAAATCCTGGGGACACAATCTTGTAAGATTGGGAGACCGAAGCAGGGTTTAACGGGTCCCGGAATGGAACGTCGTATCCCATAACTCTTGTCGTGTATCTGGTGTACGAGTTCTCATCAAGTCTAGCCTTTTGACCCAATACTCTAGGGGAGATATCTCACCCCACCGTCTATTATACATTTAGCTCCCACGCATAGGCTGCGCTATTCAAAACGGCGGCCCTTCACAGCCTCAGTATCTTCCGGTTCTCGTCGATGCCGCCGCGGAACATGTCGGCAATCACCCTGCCCTCAAGAACCGTCTCTTTGACGATTCCCTCGACGTGTTGCGGCTCGACCCTTCCATACCAGATCCCCTTCCCGGCGAGCGGGTGCGCCTCGCCCCCCTTCGCCCGCAGACCCGGCGGTATGTACACAATCACGTTGCCCGCAAACTTGTGCCCGCCGATGTGGCTGATCAGCCCGACCCTCGCCGATATCCCCCCGCGCCCCGCCGTCTCTCCACCGTGGGGCAGCCCGATCTTCTGTGTCTCACCCCCGCTCTCGTCGACCTCGATCGGCCCCCTCGCGACGTCGACTCCGGCCCCCTCGAGCCGCGCCTCAAACTCGTCCCGCAGAACAGGGCCCATGGCGCCGCACCGCATGTCCCGTCCGCCGTGCCCGCACACCAGGACCAACACGTCCGTAACATCTCGCACGCCATACAGCAGCGACCGGTACGCCTCCTTGCGCGTCAGCCGGTCGCGGTGGATCGGCGACAGGCCGTCGTGCATCGGGTGCAGCGTCTCCGGGAGGAGGTACCCCTTGGCGAGCGCCTGCACGCTGTCGAAGCTCACGCGCGGCAGGAAGGGCACGTACTTGAAGCTCGGGAGTAGGTAGGCGCTCGTCGTCTGCAGCTCGCTCCGCTTGGGCGTGGACGAGGGGAACGAGGCGTTGAGGACCGAGACGTTGTGCCATGGCTGTGGTGGTAGGAAAGATCACTTACCGTCAGCCAGTCTCTTCTCTTGCCTGGTGTAGCTCGTACTAATAGAGGGCGCTGCCCAGCCTTTCGTCTCCCTCCGAAAGCTAGCAACTCTGCTGGTGCTCTCCTTATAATCTCCAAGGAGAGCATGCTCCTTCGGGATACACAAACACACACACAGACACACATATATACATACATATATGATTGGGGAAGAAAGGCAAAACCCAAAGAAAAGAAGGAGAAATAAACTCACATCGCTGTACGTGCCCCCACGCCCAAACAGCTCCTTCAGGTCGGCCGCGAGGTTATCCCCGCTGTTCTCCTCCTCGATACGCGACGCCCAGTCGTCCTTGCCCGTGCACACGAGCACCTGCTCCGCGTACGCCGACATGGCACCGTTGAGCGGGGCCTTGCGGTCGATCTCGAGCCCGTCCGGCATGGCCGGGGTCGCGGCGCACTCGCATGTCGGTGAGGGGCACGTCGGGACGAGCTCAAACGGCGGCGGAGGGACCGAGGGCCGGGCCCGGGGTTGGGGCCTCGACTTTGGCTTAGACGACGACGACGACGACGACGACGACGACCTTGCAGTTGCGGCAACTACGCGCCGCGGCACCAGGAGTGTGACCGGACACGAGTTCACCACACGGCACCCCCGCGCAAGGCGCAACATGGCTCTTGGCGTGGAATACATCTTCCGCGGCGCGGCTTCGCCGAGAGGAAAAGAAAAGTAGGATTGCTGTACTCGCCTGCGGATGTTGCACGCCGCACGCTGTGTACTGGGACGTTGAAGGCGTCAGGTACTATCTCAGTCACTAGAGACGTTGCGTTCCCGCGTATAGAACCGATAAATTGTGCTGGCTGTCTTTTCTTTTCTTTTTTTCCTTTTTCTCTTTCCTTTTTCCCTTTCTGGACACACACAGGTAGGTGGATAGAATACAAGCACCAGCGGCTCATTTCGGCGTCTCGGCGGTCACAGGGAAATAGCAAAGACTACTGCCAATGACATAATCATGTAGCTTACGTAACGAAACAATCTCGTTAAGAATTTGTCCGCTGGCCCGCGCGACATCAAAAGAGGCCAGCTGGTGCTTACTATGTAAAGGGATGCATGCAACCCGAGGTGGGATCTGCGATAATAGACAATCGGCAATCAGTAGCTACTAAACAACTTCGCTACTTGGAACTTGGAGGATTAGAAGAAGAAAAACCAGTCTCGGGAGCTTCGCAACGGGCACGGACTTTGCAATGGCGCCGCCGGCGTTGAAACGGGAGTTAGACGTAGACAAGCAAGACCGGAGGGAGGAGGTAAGGCGGGTCCGTCAGGATAATTAGTGTATCTGAGATGCGTATTGAGTCGAATCAAACATAAGGTACGGATAAGCTACCAGGCTACCTAGTGTGGTTCGGTATGAAGTGCTTCCCCGATAATAACTGGCGCCCCATTGGCCGATGACTGGGGGGACCACTTCTGGTGGCCGTTGGTACCTGTTCGCATAACTGATACATCGTGGCCTGCGTGGCCCCTCCGTCAATTCGGGTACCGCTGGTACTTACTTGCCAGTTCCTTGCTTGTTGCAATGTCAATGTGACGGAAAAAACGCCTTCCCCTCCAGTCTCCGCCTGTTTTCAGGGGAGGAGGGGTTGAGGAGGAGAGTACCACCCGCCCTCGGATCCGAATCGCGGGTGTTGACCCGCAAGCAACCTAGCAAAAATGACTCTGCACGGTGCTATTTGGCCAGTTCGGGCGAGAAAGGCGTCGATAGAGGAAAATCGCTGTTGCACGCGCACGGTCAGGGTGTTCCTCTTTCTCATCGTCATAAGGTCCTTCTCACGCGTTGGCCCCTTCCTCCTCCCTCAATCCTTGAACCTTTCCCTCCCCTTTTAAGCATTCCACGGCCATGGAGTGGAACACGAAAGCGAGAAAGCGAGAAAGCGAGAAAGCGGAAAAGTGAGGAAGGGGCGGTTGGAGGGAGGAATTGCGGGCCCCAGAGCCTCCTCCTTCGATTCAAACATTCCAGCGCACAATTAACCGTCACCGTGGGCATGGGGGGGAGGAGTAGGGAGGCAGTTGCCAACGACATCCATCTCGTGCACGCAACCTAGAAGCTCCGACCAACAGGAGGCCGCAGAGACTATCGCGTCGTCTCCACGGCCTGGAGCACGGCACTTCAGTTACGCCGCGGCTTGGCGATCACAGCAACACTCGCAGAGTACTCCGTAGGAGTCAAATCACACAGCCCCCGTATGCGTGTTGTCTCATAGCACCCGTCGTGGCCCCCGAGTTCCGAGACGGCATGTCTCGCCGAGTATCGGGGGAGAACAGACCGCGGTTGCTGCGGAATACCTAGACTGCCAAGATTGGCCGAGACGGGTTCGCGAAATAAATTATGTTGAGGCTCTTTCAGTGTTAGCGAGCGACACAGAAAGAAAAGAAAAGAAAAAGAGAGAGATGACGGTGGCGGGCGAGGGGGGGGGCGATGAGCCATGACACACCCCCTTCCGCTTCTTGCCTCTCATGTATGTATTTTGGCTTCCAAAGATGCCGGCCTCCTCCTCCAGAAGGATTTCACAAGCTCCAGCAGCTGGAGCCAACAAGGTACCATGGTTAAGTCAAACAAAAACCGGCTTGTCCCCTTCCTCCACCCCCCTTTCCCCTTTCAGCTCTCCTCGTCTTGGCAGCAGAAGTTATCGAAACAATACGCCGCATATCATATCTCCTTTCCATGCAGCACCGCGAGATTGGGCTCCCCACCGGAAAGACACCTCTTCTCCACGACCGGTGAGTAGTGACATGCCTTGCGCAGGTTTTTAGAAGGGGGGAAGGGGGGTTTTTTTTTTTTTCTCTCCCCCCCTTTCTTTCTTTCCGTGGTCCGCCACACCGGTCCGACAACCCGTTGAGCGCGTTGGTTCGCTTCCAACGCGGGTGCCAAGGGCCTAATCACTGTGGCCGGCTAGCCCTGGATGGAGAGGGGAGAGGGAGTGAGAAAAGTCAGTCAACCCCTGGCTCGTATCACCACCGTCAGCGTCGCTGCATGGTAGGGTGGCAACACACAGAAATGTTCTCCCGAAGGATCGTGGCAGCCGCCGCCGCCGTCCCATCTGACCATGCATCTCCGTGTCTCTTGCTTCCGTCTGACTCCTTGCGTACCTAGGTGTACCTGCCTACTGACGCACCCCCCTCCCCTCACCCCCCGTCTGAACTTTCATGTACGTACCAAAGTAGAGTTGCATCCCGACATAATTGGACTGGGATACCCTGCCCCCAGCTCCAGCTATCTACTCACATACAATCACAGGCTCTGCCCCCACTCTCTCCTCACAGACATATCCTCTTTTCTCTATTGATGTAGAAACTCTTCGACACTTCGCAAAAGCAAGCTGTCACGTAGGGTTGTTTATGATAGGGATAAGGGTTTGGTTTAGGATTAGGGATGGACTTATGGCTACTATAAGAGTCAGGAATGTGAATTGGTGTTCACATGTTTGTAGCTAGGGGCAGGATAGCTGGGCAGAGCAGGGTACCACGCACCGTTGGGAAGCCGAACCGGCGCATGCCGCATGCCGCAGTCCGCATGCCAGTTCTGCGGCCAACCTGAGACGTGCAGACCGATCCCTTCCAGTTCTGCAGTGTTCACGATGCAAGGGATGCCCATAGGGCAGAAAGGTACGCAGTAAGCTGAGGGTACTGCTAACCCTTTCTTTTTTCATATTGGTCTCGTGTTGCTTTTTGTAGCTCTCTCCCCCTTCTTGCTATGCGTGTCTCTGCTACTGTCAAGCCCTATAGACCGACTTGTTTCCTTGTATTAATATCCTCATGTACGGGGTATATATAGTGTTACATAGTTGAATGTTCAGGCAACGTGAACAGAAGGACATGGCGTGCCACATTTGGCAATCGCCAGGTATGCTTTTTTTTTCTTCAACACTCCACGTGTTTTCGGATACACCCGAAAAAAAGAAGAAAAAAAGAAAAAAGAAAAAGAAGGCTCAGATGCCAGCCCAGACGCCATAAATGCAGGGCAGGTACAGGACAAAAACAAAAGTCTGGTGCTGAGGAGGCCGTTAACTCCGCGTATATATGATATCCATGAATTTTCCGAATGTTGCGCCCATAGGCTCCTCCATCTGCCAACAGTTCCCCAGAGGCAGCTTGCTGTCCTCTTTCTCGTCTATATTGAGGAAAACCTTGCCGCCTGCTAAGGATATGTCCCCGGGTTGGCAGTCGCGTAAAAGCCTCAATGCGTCTTGTCGATGTTCCAAGGCCACTCGGTGGGCTCGTGCTTCCTCCCAGACCGTACTTGCGGCATCGACTACGGCGCTCGCAATAGCCAGTCGATCCAAAAGGACCGAGAGTTCCGAGAAGGAGCCCTCGGCAGTGAGTACGTCGGCGGCTTCCAGGATGACGTAGCTCATGAACGGCGGTGGTGCGCCCAATGGGGTTCTTCTGGCCCGAAGTAGCACTTCCAACATGCCCGTGATGTCCAGAACTCGTCTTGCTTCTTCATCCAACCGCCACATGTGTTGCAGCCGCCGCGCCGGGGCAATACGCTCTGAGTTGCGGATGTGTCGGTGGAGCTTGATCAGGCCGTGGTGGTACAGAAGATGAACTGTAAGGAACGTACTAAGGGTTCCATCCTGAGCAGCCAATTCCATATTGCCGGTATTGTAGGTGAATCGCTCCGGAAGAGACTCCTGCCAGCCGACAAACATTTTCGTGGTGCTGTCGATGAAGGTAGTGGTATCCACGTCCACAGAGAAGCACTGGGCGGATCTGTATGTATTGGACATAACCTCCGCCCAGAGGTTGACTAGCTGGACAAGATAAGCTGATAGTGCCAAAGGCTCATCAGCCATCTTGGATGGGCCAAGCAATTGTGCCGAGAAGAAGGGTACCTGTGACTCTTCCTGCTTCTCAAACACTTCTGCTTCGCACGGCAGCCGGATGAAGATATCTTTAACGTTGAGAAAGCTCAAACGGTTCGGAAACACGCCGTTGAGTCGTTCAAGTACAAAACACGCCCAATAAGTCCGTCTTCTACTTTCCGCGTACCCTGCTCTGTTCAAGCCGTAGGGGAACACTGTCAGATGCGCCTCCATCGATCTGTCGAGTTCTAGATTCAGTTGCAGGTACGTGGCCGTCGAGATAGCCGCACTCGACATGTCGCTTGCTTCGGTCGGGTTGGACATGGACAGGTGGTAAAGCGCTAGCAGGAGACGGGCTTGCACTAGTTGGAGGCCGGAGGCGGCACGCTGCTGCGCATAGCAGGCGACTTGAGCATATTCGTGGGCGGCTCGTTTGGGCCCGTCCGACAAGGCAACGCCGACGGCGAGGATGCTATAGGTGAGCATCATGTCTTCTGGTGACTTTGTATGAGCATTATCCATCACCCAGGATTTGAACGGTGTCTCAGGCAAAAAGCCAAGGGCCAGGGTGCTGTCGGTGTGTACGAAGAAGGAGGAGATTACGGAGTTAATTGACTGAGGGTCGGAGACGTACGGATCTGATTGCCATGCTCGGTTCAACACGTCCTCGTGAATACGAGGAAGCTCAATTGGCTGGCGATGCTGCCATGAAATGCTTGCCTTGGCCGTCTCGGCTGTACGGCTAAATGTCGCGGGAGGCTCGTCTCTCGTTGAAAGGTAAGAGTCGAAACCCAGACGCATCCTCTT